ATGCTGTCACTTTTTAGCAGCATGGGAAAGCTCATCTCTGGCATTTGGACTGGTTTTCTAATAATATAATAGCCCGTTTCTCTCTAGATGAAGTCTCATCATATCACAACCGAAGAACAAAATTATACACTTTTTAGACATACCACTGAGTAATCAGCTCCCTTCAAAAGGATGTTTTGGCTTAATAATGAAAGCATCTTAATAACTGAAATCATTACCCACTGAGTTACTGTCACCATAATGTTCTAAAACAGAAAAATTCCATAGGAAATGTGGCCTTTTAACTGATACTTTTGAAGGAAAATTTCTGTAAATACCATTCTCGATGTGAACATAACATTTCCGCCCCCTTTCCTGTCTTCCTTTCTTCCTCCTTTCCTAGATCCAGACTTTTCTCCTTCCTTCATCCCTTTTTCTGTCCTCTTTCCTTTCTTTTCCACCCACATTCTTGCACGTGTGTTCAAACTACCAGCATTATACCTAAAAGGGATTTTCCATCTGATCTCTCTCTACCTCTGTGTGCTCAACTAATCACATTTTATCCGCCCCCTCTAAGTGTTGTGAAGACTTGTTAAAACCAGATTTCACATCCCATGAAAAGCAAGAGGAAAGTTGCCTGATACTGCCTCAGCATGCAATAAATTTTGCTGTTGAAATACACGGAGTGAAAGTCTCACTTTAATTAATGAGTGAATTTATTCCAATTTAATTAATGAGTGAAGCTCATTAATGTCTTCTTCATTTATTCCAGAGTATGTCTGGCATATATGTGAAATGGGTTATTTTACAATGCTAAAATACAACTCACACATAAACTGTTGAGTTTATCTATAAACAGAACTAAATGTCTTCTGGTCTCCCATCCTTGTTATAAATGATAAAAAAATATTTTATAGTTTTTGCTCATTAGCTGTTAAAAGTTTATAAAACATTGTGTTATAATCCCTTTATGAGTAGAACAGCAAAAATCTTTCCTTTTAATAGTCAAGAAATGTCATCGGACTTGATAAGTATTTAAAAAGACACCTGATACCTATAGTAATACTTTTCCAAATGCCTCTTTGATGAGGGGCCATACAGATGGCAGGTGTTCCTGCAGAATATCTGTGAGAGGGAAAAATGCGACACTAATTAGTTCATGCTTGCACCAGGAATGATAAATTCTATAATACTATCAATTAAACTTACTAAGATTCTTAAATTATTCATCGCAGGGATCCATAGACAGAAGCAGCCACTTGGAACTTAACACAACTTAAAAATTCTACATTTTCTTCAACTTTTATTTTTATTTTTTTTTTACTTTTTATTTATTTATGATAGTCACACACAGAGATAGAGAGAGGCAAGGCAGAGACACAGGCAGAGGGAGAAGCAGGCTCCATGCACCAGGAGCCCGACGTGGGATTTGATCCCGGGTCTCCAGGATCGTGCCCTGGGCCAAAGGCAGGTGCTAAACCGCTGCGCCACCCAGGGTTCCCCTTCTTCAACTTTTAGTTAAGCATAATGGTTGACTTTACTGTTTGAGGATGCTTAGACCATTAGCAGGATGGCTTTGTTCTGGGTTTGAAAGAACGTCGCTTGTCCAGGATTGCTTTCTAAATATCATTTGCGAAGGACGTGTGGTTCCAATTTCAAAGACAAGATTATAGTCCTGGGTATTTTACTTTAAAAAGAAATTCCGTTACGTTTAATCTATAACAGTGTAAACACAAATGTTTTTGTACATGGGTGCCACACCCCTGCTTCACCTGTATACGTGTGTGCATATGTGTATTGGGCTCTGCCTGTGTAGGTGGATAGGTAGGTATTTCATGATGCGTGTACACGTAATGTACTATTATATGTCCATGAAAATAGTGCTTACGAAGTTTTTTAAAAAATTGTACACTTAAATTCTATAATATGAAGTTAAAAATCAAGATATTAAATCATCTATCATAATGTCATAGATGCTTTAAATAGACATTACAAGTCTATGCATAGCAACAATAAAGCTCTGCCTAAAATAAAGTAAAAAAGAAATACGTAAAGATATTACCATTAGTTATTTGTGGTTAGAGAACAATGAGTGATTTCTTAATTTCTTCTCTCAATTTTTAAAAGTTTTCTGTAATAGGGGCATATGGGTGGCTCAGTCAGTTAAGCATCTGATTCTTGATTATGGCTCAGGTCATGATCTCAGGGTGGTGGGATTATCTCTCCCTTCTCCCTCTGCCCCTTCCTCTGCTGGCACGTGTGCTCACTCTCGCTGTCTCTCAAATAAATAAAATCGTTTTTTATAAAAAGCTTTTCCATAATAAATTGATTACATTTTAAATGAAAAGCATTTTCCTTAATTAGAGGAAATTTATTTCAAAAATAAGTTCCTATCATATCAAGATAGGGGCCTCTTGTGAGTTCATATCATTCCCTTCATTTTTTAAATCTAAGAAGTACAGAATTTAAGTAAAAAAAAAATTAAGAAATAATCATTAGCACCCCAAGAAAACTCATATTTTAAATCAAGGATACTTAAGAAAACTTACATGAGAAAGTCACACTTGAAATACTTCTTTTGTTCATTCGTTTTAAATGTGATACTTGTCATTGGATATGACTAAGCTTTAACAAAAGTGGATATAAAGAGCTCATAACCATTCTAAACGTGTTTTTTTTTCCCCCAATCAGGCTCTACTTACTTTTAAACTCATTTCTATGATTAGATGGTTTCTGCTTTTTAAATGCTGTAGAGCTCCACCAGATGTAGGGTTTTACATTTGTATATTTTGTGAATAGGAATTTCAAACTGCCTTTTCAAAAAGCGATCCATGTTGTTTTAACCAAACCTAGTAGGATGGACAGATTCTTTTACATTACAAAGATTTCATCCTTATCTCATTTGTCATCCATTCACCCTCTAAATCTAAATAATATCCCATCCTGCTTATGATATATTTAAGTCCAATTAGATGCAAAGAGGAATATCTTTTTTAACTACTTAAACTCAAAATGACTATGAGTGTTAAAAATTTAAGAACACTGTCTGAATGCCTTTGAAAAGCTGTTTTCGTGGTTGTTGCTTTTTGGTTTTACCACATTATGTTTTTGGGTTCCTGTCATTGCCTTTTCAAATGGTTTTGGATGTGGTCATATTAAAAAAATATCTGAGTATTGTAGGTATTGTAGAGGACAGGAGTGGGGATAAGGCGACATGGACTGTGGTCCTGGATGTGCTGCAGAACTGGAGTCATCCTGCACACGTAACTTACACCTTCTGTGGTTAAATTTTATATTATCCATGAAAACAGAAAATCAACCAGATATTACTGATTTTCACAGAAAAATACTGTGTTTTACTCAACAGTGGAAGCTTCATCTAGCCTCGGAGAGTTTCTCTAAATCATGATGGAGGCATTCTATGGAAGGTGGGGGAATTTTGCTATTTAAAGAACAATGGCAAAAATCCCATTGAAAATTAATCTCAAGAATCATTATTAATCATTTATTTGATCATTATATGTTTTTGAAAGTTGTCTAAGGACCATCACCAACTGCAGGCTCCACTCACTTGGTGTTCATGACCGCAATTCATCACAGAAAACTTGACGCTCTGTGGTGCTCGATTCTTTTGCCTCTTGTTACATCCTTTAGGTCCCTTTTTGGATTAGAAATCTGTGCTTTAGCTCAGTGTTCCAGTTACCCTGTCCTCCAGATGAGATCACTACCCAAAAGCCGGAGTTCATGGCTGCCCCACCTCCTTTCAACGGGGCCCCCAAGCAACCACCAAGTTCCTCTCTACACATTAACCCCCCCCCACACACACACACACACAAACTCTCAAAAAAAAAAAAACAGTGCCTGTGAAAGTGGTTAAGCAACATTTAAACTTACATCGACAAATACCCTATGTTTCAGGATCTGATCAGGCATCTTTTGTTATTTAATACAAGACACAAAGGCATTTCCAGGCTTTGAGATTATAGAGATTGAAAACTAGGATGTGATTTCTTACAGCACTTTCCCATTTTCCATACACATGTTAGACATTGCTAGGGATTTGATGGTCGGCATCATGGCACAGTGATTTGGATAGGAGCCACAGCGCAGGTTTCTGGGGACTGGGGGAGAATGCTGGCCTCCTTCCCCATCAGCCTCACTCCTCCTGGCTGTGTGACTTGATGTCAGTTCCTTACCCTCTCGTGCCTTACTACCCTCATCTATGCAGTGGAGATAATACCGACTCATGGGACTGCTTGTAACTATTTGTTATTACCCGGCAGGCAAGCCCCTGTAAGGCAGCGCCCTGATTATTATGTGAACACTTTGAAGATACACTTTCCCTTTGGTCCTCTGTTCAGTCTACTTTGGTAGCGTTGGGGGTTACTGTGTCTGGTTGCATTTCAGTAATTTTCGAGGGTGATTGTCGTGTGTGTGTGTGTGTGTGTGTGTGTTCATTTTGAGCTAACCCTATAGTATCTTATAGGAGTTGACATTCCTATAATTCTCTTCTGTTCTTTCCCTCTCTTCTGCATATGTATTTTGCCCTTGAAGATTAGTTTACAATTCTGTTAGGTGGCAATAGTGATGCTTGTCTTTTACAGTGTGTTAGAGAGTTGGCATTACTCTATGTTCAAGATAATTGAAAGGATAGTGCATACAGTAGACATTCTGTAACTGGTGGATCATGTTATTTCCCTCGTAGAAGTGACCCATTAACTTTGTGATATATCATTCATGTGTCACAGACTTTATTCCATCCTTTCTTTTGGACATCTGCTTTGGCCAGATACAGTTCTAGGTGTTGGGAACCATAGACCCAAACAAGACGGAAGGGGTCACTGCTCTCAGAGTTCATTATCATTATCTGGTAGTGTGTTTCTTAATAATGTATCTGAATTAAATGTTTGAATTCAGTTTTACTTAGATCCTTTTAGATTGTTTCAGTATACGGTTGACTAGGTTGTCATTATAATGACTCTGTAGAGGGTTTATCCTAATGTCTGTGTTTTTCCCACCAGCTCTTTCAAGCATTTGATTGGAGGACTGGATGATGTTTCCAATAAAGCATATGAAGATGCAGAAGCTAAAGCAAAGTAAGTGACAGGTTTTTTCCCCCCTTTGACCTCAATCTTGATTTTTAAAAATTGATTTTGAATAAAAATAAGATTGTTTCGTGGTACTTAACAAAGCCCAACACTCTGACAGTAAGAAACTAACTGCTTAAGAAGGGGGGAAAAAGGAAATTTCAAGGAAATGATTACATAGTAGGCTTAATATGCATCTTCTTAAACACAAAATCTTAATTTTGGGGAGGAAAATAATCTCAGCAAGGGAAAATGGTAAGTGTAAAATCCAATATAAATAATTGAATCCGAACACATTATTTCTCCCATAGGAAATACTTTCTGAATGAATAGTGGTTGTTGCATTCAATAGTTCAATTATATGGAAAATGATAAGACTGGAAATATTTCCTGGTACAAATAGATTGTTGCTTTACATTGAACTGCAGTGGCATGAAGGTATCAGAATGAGATGAGACAGTACATATCCCATTAATTCCCATTAATTATCATTTCTGTATAACAAAATACAATTTTTATCTAATATTTCTACCTTTAAGACAAAGCTTGAAAAAAAATTAAAAAAAAGACAAAGCTTGAATTTTTTTGATAAAGACTTGAAATTACGTGAGATTGGTCTTTGCTGAAAAAAACTTATAGGTTACTTTTAAAAAGTGATGATCTTTATAATCCTCCCCTCTTTTCTCCACTGAACCAATTTAAGTATAAGCAAGTCAATATTGATATCTCACAGGACACCTGAAGGATTAAACTGACAAAAATGTATCAGTAAGGAGATAGTTCAGAGGCAGAATTTGCTTGGTTTTGTAGTAACCCCAAAGGCAAAAAAAAAAAAAAAAAGAAAAAAAAGTGCTTTTGACTTGAAAATCTAAGATTAAAAATTGGGCCTAGACATAAAAAATTAAGTACTATAGTTCATTTTGGCTGATAAAATTCTATTATTTTCAAAGTCGTCTAAATATAATCATGGTTTTTTTCTCTCTATATTTACTTTCATTTCCTTTGCTCATTGGAGGGACACAGACCTCTATCTTGAGCTTTGACGGTGGCAGGGCCTCTGCAGAGATTTGTTCAGGCAATTGCACCAGCTGGTGTTAACACCAAACTCCATACGGTCATGGGGATTGCCTGTACTGTGGATGATAGATATTAATTTTCTGGTTTTCTACAATAGATTAAAATACACATTTATGCTAAGTTTAGACTTTAGTTTCTGGTAGTAGCACTAATCCTACTGAGGTGGAAGACAGGCCATTTAAGATTCTTACCAATTTTAAGAATCCTAAAACTCCCTTTGTTATTACTGGACTTGATCCTTAGAGGCACATTTGCTGTATAAAAACTCATGTTTATAATCTATGTTAGCATGTTTTTTCTTGAGTATATATACTCAATTAAGATTGCCATGGGTCATTTCATATACATATATATCGCATCATATATGTTTTGTGTATATAACTGGTGGTAATCTTCAAAATTTATCTAAAATCTGCATGAGCAGCAACTGTCTAAATACTTTTATTAGAAAAAGTCAGAGGTCTTTTAAGGTAAAGCATTCTTTGGTCTGTTTCTGTTTCTTGCTAAATTTTAGATTGTTCTAATGAAAGTTTTTTATAACTCCTATTTGCCCAAAATTGAGTCCAGTCATGGGCTTAAAACCAGTCAGTGATGGGCAAGTGTCCTGAATTGGCTCTGTCCTTCTCAATGTCCCACTGGCTTTATAAAGATAACCGTGTGGGCATCTCATGAGTCCTGGTATTTGTGGGTTCACTTGCACATGCTTCCATCAAAAGTAACAAGGTAAATAAAAACACTGAAGTCCAGATCAGACAATTACAAGACAGGAAAGGTGAGGGTACTTGTCATATGAAAAATATGATTCTGAACATGGGGCAGAAGCCTCGGGTCCTGTTTCTGCCTCTGTCATTTCCAACCAAGTGATCTCGGTCATGAGTTAACAGTGCCTCTCAATGTCCTATCTTACCTTTAAAATGATATTTCTATGATTTAATTGATGGCAGTATAATTACTTTGTAAATTACAAAGGGCTATAAAAACGAAGGATATTGTTGGTAGAAGTAATCGCTGGAAGTATACCTTAGTGCATTTGATAAATGGCTTGGGGTTCATAGCTAATTATTGCATACTGATTATGTAAAACTTCATGGGCAGGAAGTCTTTACTCTGATGTAGACAGACTACTCTCACTTTGGCAGCATATCCTGAAATTTAAACTAGCCTGGAAAATATCCATAAATATAATTTTTGTAAAAATGGTAACATTTAGTTAAAAGAAGATTTAGAGGCACCTGGGTGGCTCAAATGAGTACAGTCATGTGTTTTAATTTACAATCTACATCTCTTGATCTGAAATACAGACTCAAAGACCTTGCACTGACTCTCTGTAAAAGTCAGCTCAGGTCTTGATCTCAGGGTTGTGAGTTCAAGCGCAACCTTGGGCTCTGTACTAGACATGGAGCCTACTAAAAAAAAGGGGGGGATCATGATTAAAGACAGGCAATAAAATGACTATTTCCATCTAAGTGGCTCAAAATATTGTTATCTGAACCATACATTTGATAGACTGGAACTTAGTTATATTTATACATGAATAGAAGTTGACTAGTAGAGATTAATTTTTTTTTAGTTCAGGGCACATGTGTGGCTCAGCAGTTGAGCACCTACCTTCAGCCCAGGGTATGATCCCAGGGTCTGGGGATTGAGTCCCACATCGGGCTCCCCACGGGGAGCCTGCTTCTCCCTCTGCCTGTGTCTCTGCCTCTCTCTGTGTGTGTCTCATGAATAAATAAAATCTTTAAAAAAAATTTTTTTTAGTTCAAGTAATATTAAACCTAAATGAATGCACAACCCACCTTCCATAAGAGTGATTATTACTTAGAAGATGGGAATACCTTGATGAAAAAAATGTCTAAAATCATTGATCCTAATTCTAGAGAAATTGGTAAATGTAACTTTATTCCACAAAATAGCCAAATACATACATACATTGATTCTGGCAGAAATCTTTGTCATCCCCTTTACACTGTTATCATCTTCTAGCTTTCTAATAAGTACTTAATATCTGAAGATTTCTGAAGTTGAAAGTATCATTTTAATTAGGTATCCTATCACTCAGAGGCAAAGCTTGAACTAACACAATGAAATGTCTATTTGTGTCAATGCTGTTGTCTCTTTATTAGATCTCTTCCCCTTAAGTACCTTGTCCATTTATCTCATATTTAAGGAACTTCTAAGATTTGCCATTTCAAGGGCCATGGACATGCTCTAATTGTCTAAATTCCCTGGATAATTGTAATGACTCTCAATTTCTATAAAGATCCCAAAATCTATACCATTTAGAACGGAGTTGTTGATTGACTCCATCGTGAAAGCTTTATTTTTTTAAGATTTCCTTGATTTTGCAGAACCCACTAAAGATGAGATTAGTATTTCTAACATTATCACGTTATTTATCCATGTGAAATTATTGTTGGTGTTGTGTCATTGACTATGCCTATTTGGGTTAGAAAAAAAAAATAAGAAGAAGAAGAGGAAAAGACTGCTGAAACATCAATTCAGTTGAGACATTTAGAAGGTCAGTTGTGAGAAACTCACTAGCTGGTAGCATAATCAGGCCTCAGATGCAGGATGGTCTGCAAAAGGTACAGAGCATCACTTGCAGAAACACCGTGGTGAGTTCTCAGCGTGTGTGACCGGTGGGGAGGTGGGCCAGAGAGAAATGTCCCAGTGAGATGGTTCTCAGAACTCCTCTGTGCTGGATGTGTGCCTTCGGCCTGCTTCACGACATGTATTTCCTACAAAGAAAATTATTCTTGACAGAAACTTTACCTTGATGGCATATTTAAGCTTCTCTTGATTGCTGCTAATTATCCACTAAGGGCTTCTCTTTCCAAAATACGAAGTTATAATCACAAAGCCATTAGAAGAAACAACAGCAGATCAAAGTTAAGCATCATTAAACCTTATTTAGAGCAGAAAGTAGCATTTGTGATGATAGGTACATGTTATTTTCCTTTGAGATTATGTCTTCATTTAATAAACATTTAGAAATTTACTTAATGATGAGTCAGGAATTGTGCTTTACAACGTGCATATTGAGTAGAAAACTCGTTTTCTGACACTATGGATCTTGCAGTTCTCGAAGCTCTTTGGATATAGATTTGTAAGTGCATTTATTTGTGATCTAACTTGATTCTCAATATCATTCTCCACAAGGAGCTCTTTCTCATGGCAAAATTTACATAAACCTCCACATGAGTCCACTCATGTTTTAATCTATGTCGTCACCTGATCTGAATTATAGATTTAAAGACCCTGCACTGACTCTCTCGCCCCTCACGTATGAGCGTTAACCACGGTTGTTCACTTTGACTCAGGCACTCATTTAGCCAACAAATATTTTCTGCATCCCTACAAAATGCTACATATAAAGTAGTGAATAAAATGGGCACATATACCTTGCCTTCATGGTGATAAGGCCCAATGAGGAGGAGAGAGACACACATATTAATGATGCTGGGAGGACTTCCCTGAGGAAGTGACATTTTATCTAGATTGGAGCTGAGTTCTGAAGAATTAGCTGGTGTTGGCTAGGCAAGAATTAATTGGTATTACCCAGGCAACTAAGCACAGAGAGCATTGTAGCCAGGGAAATAGCATTTACAGGGCCCCCTAGGTAGGAAACAAGACTGGCTATTCAAGAAACCCAAATACCATCAAGACTGGGACCTTGAATGTAAAAGTCAGAGATCAGATGTTAAGGATTTAGGAAAATCACTTTAGGCTTGTCAGTTACGAAAAGAGATAAGTTGGTGTATGTTTTAATTGAGCACCCTTTCCTCAGCATTTGGAGGAGTATTGAGTGGAAGCAGAGAACCCACAGTATTTTCCAGGGAACGGTGATGGTAGATAGGACTAGACATAAGAGCAGTGTGAACAGAGAAAGATATGGGGGAAACCAGTAGGTATCCTTAAGGATGTAGATGTTG